CGATACCTTCATCTGTTTTTATTCAATGGACTTTGAGCTAGATTACTTTTCGTTAACCTCATCTTTCTTTGATTTAATTTAATCTTGTTGCTTGCAATGTGTAACCCCAGTGTTCTCCTGGTATGTAGGAAAGATGCTAGCATCAAAGTGATTGGAGTCTGTTACATAATGAACATGTAATCATCTTGTCATGAATATGATTTTGAAGTAGATGATTTGTTTTGAGAAAAAAAATATGTGACTGTATTAGAGAAAAAAAACCCATTAACTTGTTTTTCCCAAATATTTCTTTTGAATTTTATTTTCATTGTAAAACAAAAAACAGAAAAGTTGTCGTAACGCAAGTGAGTTAAGGCTACATATGGAGGTTTATATGCAAAACATCTAATTAAATTTCATAATTGCTTTACCTACCGCACAAAAAATGTTAAGACTTGTTTTCTAATACATTCTTGGTACCCACGACATGCGATAGCCAGTACACATTATGACGTCATATTATGACGTCATTGACCTCTACTACACATGTTTATAAGAAACATCAAAAAAATCGCTTCGGCGCAAGGGCATGCCTTACTTTGTTTAACAGAAACAAGGTATAAAAAGACGCAGAATATTCAAAGGATTTGAGATATTGCTGCACAAATGTCGGCACTGCAATTGTTTAGTTACTATTCGTGCAGTTTTAAGTTTAAACAGGGTAAAAAATCACAGTCCGGTTTAAGTTTCCTAAAATTTTTATCGATTGAGAAAGTGCATAGGATTTGTGCAGCAATTTTATTGATTTTAAGAACATTCTCCTTAATATTACACATTGTTTATTTTAATTAAGATAGGATATGCCCTTGCGCCGACGTGATTTTGTTGAAGTGATTCATTACCTTGAATGGGTGAGAACAATGACGTCATAATATGACGTCATAATGTGCACTTGCATTAATAAACTGTCGGTACTAAGAATGTATAAGAAAATTTATTTGAACTTTCTCTGTACACAAAATATACAATTTATGATTTTTTATTAGCTTATTTGCATAGAAATATCCATATTTAGCCTTAACTCACTTGCGTAATGAGAATTGTTTATAATGAATGGATGATCATTTTATTCGATTTTTATTCCAATTTTAAGTATATATGTACCGGTCAACATTTTGATAATTATTTCAAGAATTGACTTTCTTCCGGACAGTACGTTTTGTACCTATATTTACAGGCATAGATATGTCATTTATGTTTCGTTTATGGGTATGGGTAACGAATTACGAACTATTAGACATCACGAAGAGGAAAACAACGAAAAGATCCCTTTTGTTCTTACCCACAACCCAAGAAATCACAACATCTTTAAAACTGCCAAACAATTTTTCCCTATTATTCAACAATCAGAAACATTAAGGGACCTTATTAAACCAAAGGATATACTACACAGCAGGCGTCAACCTCCCAATTTGAAAAAAATCTTACCACAGCCAAATTTACATCGAACCCCGAGAAACCGATGGTTTCTAAGTGCGAGGATCCACGATGCGGAACCTGTCAAGTTTTAAAAACCGGCCAAACCATTATTTTTAAAAACGGAATGAAGTTTGACGTTAAATCTTCTATGACGTGTAAATCTAAAAACCTTATATACTGTATGACGTGTCCTACATGTGAGGAAAATTATATAGGACATACCAGAACCAAATTAGCCGACCGTGTTCGCGTGCACAAGCAACAGATTAAGGATCCGACCATAAGAAACACGCCGTGTAGTGAACACTTTGATTCTTGTGGCAAAGGACATTTTTATATATTTCCTTTTTACAAAATAAAAGAGGAAAATGAACAATTACGGAAAGCCAAAGAACAATAAAGTCAAGACAATCATGTCATTAATTGTGCTATAAACGCAGATATCATAATTTAAATATTTTTTTTTCGAAATGGACTTAAGTTATCCACTCAGTGCTGAATTGCAAAGCTGCTGTTTTCAATTCACGTGTCCTATATTCATTTAGAAGTTGATGAAATACATTTTCCGAAAGAATAGAAGCTTTCTAGAATGCTTATCAGAAGGCTTGTTACTTGTAACAAGGTTAAAGGACAGGGACAGGCAATATGTGATAAATGACAGTATTCCAGAAAGCCTAAAGACTTTAAAAGAAGCAGAGATTTTTTTGTGAAATGGAGACTCTTAGTGAAGTAGAAAGTTTCAGAAATTGATGCCGGCAATATCAGCATACCCAACATACATTGAACTTTGATATATGATTTAAAGTTATCAGTCTACAAATTTCCAATATGCCACGAAAGAGCCTGACCTTTGCATTCAAAAATCTCAATTATGTAATGGGAGCTTTTGACGTTGTGAAATTCAATGTAGCAAAAATGTCACAACTTGGAATTTACGTTAATTTTCATACATGTTTAAGATTATGTTCAGTGTTTATTATTTTAGTTGGTAATTAGATATAATGAATCTTATGGATGCATGCATCAATTTAATAAAAAGACTTTTCTGTATCTTTTTCTTGTTTTTGTGAAATTGAATGTTCAAAATGTAAAATGCGACCAACGAATCAGCATTAAGGGTCGCAAATACCAAATTAGAATTTTTTTGAATATATTTTATTTTTTTAACACAAAAGGATCAGAAACCAAATTAGAAGATATTTTTTTCTTAATTTATAGTAAACAGAGTAATAGGTATTACATACAGACTGAAAAATTCAATGAAAGACACAAAAAAAAACTCTTTAAATAATCTTGTTTGAAATTTTATAATGTATTCTTTATTTATTGATGCATGATAATTGCCTCTGAAAAATTAACAAAAAAGATGATGTAGCTAAAAAAATAAACACGCCTTTCAACCCCATTTATAACTGTTTGAGAAGGATATGGAGATAACAAAATGTATTCAATCTCAAAGTCCATCAAACAATACAAAAAGTTGCTCCATGTTAAGCTATTAATATTTAATCAATGTTTATGGGATTTTAGAAACGGTGATATTAATTAAATATGTTTAGAGATAATTACAGATTCCATCTATGATCATAGAAAATCAATTTGCATTTGAGGGTCGTAGAAATATATCATGCATGAAAACATTAAAGTTCACTAGGATTTGAAACAGATGATGGATTGAAAAAAGTGAAAAATGTCAAACTATGAAAATTACACATGCAGAAATAAGGCAATTGCTAGTGATTTAAAAAAATCCTTGAAAGTTCTTTGATGATTATAAAATTCTTTAGAATCAAAAAAATATTTTTAAAAAAGAAAGATATCATTTTTATTTCTTAATTAACCAAAAATTCCTTCAGTACAATAAAATTTTTCAAATACGTGTAAAAATGTAAATTCTCTAATTTGTTTCTGCCACTCTAATTAATTTTAGTTAAACTCCTAATAATGAAATAATTTTATCACTTTAATATCAGGTTCAAATTAACACGTTATTAATTTTTTTTTCTTCAAAGAGACCCTTATTATTGATAATTTATGATGAGGATGAAGAATCCAAGGTTTTGGGCCAGTTCTCATGTTCATGTTGTATTGACTGATTATGATGACGGATTTCTATACAATGTATATTGAATTCTTTGAATAAGGTACCGTTATAGAACTATATGAAATTATCAGACTGTTAATAGGCTTCACTCTAGTCAGTAATGATCCCGAGAAAAAAAAAAAAAACTATACCAGATAAAATTAAAGGTAATACTGTGACGTATGGATGTTGAATTGCAAATGGTTTTTATGTTAGCGGCATATCCTTGAAGTCGTTACCAGGGGCGTAGCTTGACTTAAAAGCCTAGCCTGGTGAGGCAAAGCTATAACGACCGGGGTCTGTAAACTGGGTTTTAGAAGGTAGGCATAACACTTGTACTGGACAGAAATTTTGCAATTTTATCGATTCTGATAATAATTATTGAATATTTCAGCATGCATCTGATATTACTTATTGCAGAAGTGTTTTTATAATAAAGTAAATTAAGATGTTTAATTAAACTTCAATTACACTTTTATAAATGAATTCATATTTTATTAGTTTTCTTTAGATTTGAAATTTCAATTGCGTTCTGCGCTGTTAAAATTCAGCAAATTTGGTGAGTATATTGCACACAGAAGCAGTTTCTGCAGGTCGGCCTGCATGGCCTTGATGTTCATATGATTTTTATCCAACGAGTTGTGTGTTTTATATCTCCGAGCCTTGGCGACGGGATAAAACACACAACGAGTTGGATAAAAATCATAACCAACTACAAATCATGTGAGATTCTTTTTATTCCATGTGTAACATTTTGTTTTATACACCACAATCAATGTTTTACACAGTTTTACACAGTTTTAATACAGGATTCCATTATATTTTACTTCATTACGCTAACGCAAAACCCATTGTGACGTCACTACTAAGAAAACGATATCACATGAGCTATATCAACGGGATAAAGGGATAAACATGGGATAAATATTAGTATCAATTAGTCAAATGCACATCAATTAACAAATGGGAATAACAAGTGATGCATTAACATTTTTTTCTAGTTTATATTACATCATTCAATGAAATCGTAGAAAAGATGAAACGATTTGAAATATGCAGTCATTAAAATTTCAAAATTTAAAAGTGCACTAAATTAACATGGGCTTGTAATTTTCAAAGCTTTTTTCATGAAAGGTTTTAAAATATGCATATTGAGAGTTTCGCATTTCAAATCGTCTCGCATAAAGGACGATAAGTTCATTAACCTAGACGTCTAAATACTTTATCATCTCGGTTTCAAGAATGCTCAAACTTAATTTGAAAATATTGATTATCTCATTAACAGCTAAAATTTTCATTCATAATATATTTGACGTAAACTTTCAAAAATATTCATTATTAATATTTCTTGGCTTAATTTTGTATTTAGATTACACGGTGTCATAGAAAACATTCACAGCAAACACAAAAAGCTAAGGAACAACGGTTCCACAAACTATTTTGTAATTAGAAGGGAATTATAATGCTGATAACACATGGAAAAACGTACCTACAAATCGCCTTCCTTCTGTTTGCAGTGGTGTGTGAGAGTGCCTACAAGGCGCCTGAGTTTCATGGAGAATTTCATTTAAAATTCTTTGGAAAGCTGTCTGACAAATACTCTCAAACCATCTTTTCGTCAGAAGGAAAATCACAGATGGGAACTTTAGCAAAATGTTCCAAGTTTTGTGTCAATGACCAGCGATGTATAGGAATAGAATTATGTCACATCAGAGAGGATTGGTTCCAATGTCGAGTTTGCTGTGAATGGAAGAAAATAGGTTCCAATTACTACGATGACCAACCGCATTGTAAATACTTAGAAATGGTGAGTATATGCATTTAGATCATAATTAAGTCTAAGTTTAAATTATCAGGGATAAAAATTGACAAAGTATTAAAGAAATGGTATGTTTATCAAATTAAAATAAAAACTTCCGCCTTAAAAAATCATAACGCTTTCTTGCACGTACCGAATCATTTCTTGAAGGGTAACAAATACATTATGAGCAAATCTCAATACTTTGGTAGTCTTATTCCAGTAAAATGTATGATGCTTTCTTTCAAACAGGAAGATAAAGCCGAAGAAAACGGTAAGTCGTCCTTAATTACGAAAGTTAACGTAAACATGAAGGTTTATTGAATATTATGTTGTGTTAGATACATTAAAATGCACGGTTTTCATATGTATCTTTTTTTAAGATACACACAATAAAGTGTGCTGCCAGGAATTTTGTGTCAATCACAAAATAGTATGTTTTTTAAAAGGTTTTTTTCAGTAATACTATTTGTAAATATGTAAAGATTCAGTGAGAAGGAAGCAGATTAGTACGTTAGCACATTAAAAATTTATTGTGTTAATGATATTACAATGGTATGTTCTAAATTTTTGTCTTCGTACTTTGTTATGAATTTTATATGCTTTATAATAATGCTGATTTTAAACAAAACATTTCTATGGTTGTGGCCTCATATAGTATACGTATCAACTCATTATCAATCCATTTTTTATATTTAGAAGTTCTTCTTAATACTTTTACGGGTATTTTAAAAGGTAGATTTGGTTTTAGTGACAAAATGGTAGCAACTTCCATGCAATCTTTTAATCTTTTTATCGTTGATTCAGTAATTCATGCCATTCATGCTCATGGAAAAATTGTCTTCTATTTTTGGGACTGTAATGCCTCATTAAATTTAAAAGCTAAATATTAATGTTGGTCAAAAGCTCTACAGAGCTTATGTTACTTGTTTTCAAAAATGCGACTTTAAATAAAATGTTCTGATTCTGATTTCCCAACTTAAAGGATAAAATGTTGTAGTATTTATTATCATCTATACTATTTTCCCTAATAGCAAATCATATTGAGAAAATATTCCATGACAATAGAAAGGACAGTCAGATTATGTAGAAATAAAAGCTGCTGCTTTAAAAAAATACGTTGTTCAATTTCTTCATCATTCAAAAGATAATCAACAGCACTGCTACCAAGATAATTATGACATGTGAAATTTCCAAATATGTCACTGGTGTGACTGGCCTGCAGGGTATGCTCACTCCTCCATGGCACCTGATCTCAACTCTGATGTTTCGGGGGTTCCTGTTTTCTCTGCTCCTATTTTGTATTGTTTTATGGACTTTGAGATTGAATACTGTTCGTTATCTCCATATCCTTCTTATACAACGAAATTGATTTGCAATTCAAATGTCTAATAAAGTCTTGTTCTTATTTATTATCCATGCAAGTGGTCCTATAGACTCTGTTAAAAATATTATTATCAAACTTAAATGTTTCAAAGAAGGGTAAATATTGAATGTTATCATCAAACATACACATGCATATTTAGCAGTCCTTCCTGTTATAGCATTAAAATCTCCCATTATGATTCCTGGATCTTAATTCAAAATGAATAAAATCTCCCTGTACAAGTTTTAAAATATTAATATTTTCTTGTATTGTATCAATTACTTATTTTTATATAAATTCAACAATGTCCATGAAAAAGGGGCTTAATGTTTCAAGAATTGTGATATTTGGACCCTGCTCGGGCAATTGTATTTTAAAGAAATATGATATAAAAATTGAGTATTTGTATTGTAAAATAGACGTAAACATTTAAGCTATGCTAAAGCTTCTATAATAAATAATGGAACACCTCCTTGATATCACATGTATGATTGAATTAATTGTTACTTTTTCTTCGAGATTTCTTCACTCATAGTGAGAGGCCAGCACGTACCTCTTGTGGAGGGCTGCAAATTAAATCTTTACGAAACTAAAACCAATTTACAACACTTAAGGTAGAACCCATGTCAGATAAGTCTTTTTAAAAACATTTTCAATTTTTCAATTTTTTCAAAATGATAAAATTAGCTTATCAATCAACTAACCATTAAGATATACATATGAATAATCATCAAATAAACGGAATGCACATCATTTCATGATAGACATTACAAAATGAGCACAAAATCACATATTTGACTCAGACACATTTATCAAGATACTATACTATTTTGTTGGCAACTGAAGATTTCACAGGATTTTTGCATCCCCTCAAAATAGTTGCATGTCATTCAGCTTATCACAATAAGTTGTGTAATTCCATTACATGAGATAGTCTAGGATTTGTCCACTTAAGGTCAAGATCTAGTGAGTGAAAGGTGCCTGCTACAAGTTGCTTTAATTTAAGAAATGGTTTAAGTTGCCATGCGCTCGATACTGTGAAATAAAGGTCCCGGGCCCTTAGATGAGACCTGAAAAATCCCTTGTCACGGCAGGCGTTGTCACGATAAAACTCACTGCTCAATGTCCCTGCAGCTGAGTGCTGAGTAATGGTTAAGATTAAAGCCTGAACTGCAATATGGTGACCTCTTTATGAGTGAAAAAATACTGAATGGGACGTAAAACAGCATACAAAATTACAGTAACTTATCTACTTTGATGTATTAATCTCTGGGGAAAAAAGACCCAGACACAGTAGGTATGTTTTTTCCCTTTTTATGAATTCTATACATAGAAATATATCATATTTATTATTCTTCAGATAAGTTTTATTAAGGAAGAATTCTTCTCTTATTTCTGAATACATGAAATATTCAAAGCACATTTGCTTATATGTCTTCTTTATTTAGATTTTAGCGATTTAAAAGACAACATTTTTCTCTCCTCATCACACTAGTAAAACTTTGAACAGAAATGCAGTAAACCGCTCTTGAAAAAAGCAAAACTTTATATTTGGCGGAATGATGGCTTATGAATATATCTTCTTTTCTGCCTCTCAAAATTATTATAGAACAATGAATTTATTTATCCATTTACAAAATCAATAATTTTTCAAATGTAAATTTAATATTTATTAAGGGATTTAACATGCATTCTCTGAAAGCACAAAAAAATCTTAGAGAAACGACATCTCTCCGATTTTGATGAAAGTTGCAGCACAGGTGCACCTTGGTTATTTCAATTAAAATATTAAAATGAAAACGATTAAATTTCACATTTTCTATTTTAAAAATATTGTTATTGTGTGTATTGTATTTCCACTTCAGTGGCAGCGTCGGCCGTTTTAAGTAGTATTTACGATTCCCGACGTAAAACAGCATTTGCAGTAGATGGTGTCACAGAATGTGAAAGATTTACATGTCCTCACAGCTTGGCTGAATTTAGTCCATGGTTAAGAGTCGATCTGACCAATAAAACCAGTGTATCAAAAGTACTTGTATACAACAGACGTGATTGTTGCGGTGAGTTTTTTCTCTTTAATACATAGTTCCTTCAGTATAGTAATATAAGAAAATCACAAACAGAAATGAAAACCATCTGTATACGTATACACAATATCTCAGTTCCCCTCTCTCTCTCATGTTTTAAACTAATTACTGTAAAATCACATGCATTTTCGTGGAGTTATATTTTCATGGTTTGAGTAAAAACACATGTTTCGTAGGGATTTGAATACTTGGATGAAGAATTGTTGAGTAGTTACATATTTGATATTTTAAGTAGATTATCACTCAAACGTTTATGCAAAAATACACAATAAAGACAATCATTAATGTTTTTAAATTTTGTTTTCTTGTTTTCCTTTTGCTGTAGGAGGGCGTTTCCAGGATGTGTCTTTAATTGTCAACGAACCAGAAGGTGTGCGAAATTTTTCTTGTGGCTTCTTTCCCGGACCAGCCGTAAATGGGGACCGTATCCTATTTCATTGTGAGAATGATGCTGTTTGTGAAAGTGTTACAATTATCATGAATTATAGAAATGGACAAAAGGATACTCTCCATGTGTGTGAAGTAGAGGTTTTTCGGGAAACGTTAACACTGCTTCAAACACATGGTAACATTTAAACACCAAAATCTGTAACACAGTTCCCAATGAGCAGTATAAGACGGCTTTGGTTTTCATATATATCTTCACATGAGACATTCCGAGAATAGAACGAAAATAACGAAAAACATGGAAAGAAGATACCGTAAGCATAAATGACTATATCTTTGTTTAGAATATTTTCACGTGCATCAACGACGTTAAAAGCAAATTAAAAGCAAACTTTATTTGTATAGACGTTTGTATAATCGGAGTTATAAGAAGAATGAATTCATCAAATATATAATTGAATTATCATAATTTATGACTTTTATGTAGCTAAAAAATAAGATAATGTTCGTTTGTGAAATATAGGTAAATGCACATTTTTGAAATAAATACTTTGCCACATATGGCACACACTTAAAAGTGTGAATTCTACCGTTTTTAAATAAATTTTCCTTTTTGAGTATTTTCTTTTCTAATTTTCTCCGGAACGAAGGGGTCTTTTTGACAGAGATTTTGCCTTTTTAAACTAGGTGATTTAACTGTTTTGTCCTATACCTTAAACTAAGTGGATTAAGGTCCCCTATTTTAACTATAATTACCTCACGAAAAATAATATGTTTGCAGGACTATGGTTGTAGGGTAAACAAGCTAATTCAGAGAATTTGTGTTCCCCGCTTAGGGAAAAAGTTAGCTGAAGATCTGTAGCGTTATGGTTTATAAAAAGAATCTTCTACACACATAATGGAGAAGTCGAGAAATTCTCCCCAAAAGAGCGCAAAAAATATTGCGCCGTAAATTGCACCTTTTTTGCACTACGGGATCTGTAGCGTTATGGTCAAAGACAAATATATAAACGCTACAGATCTGCAGCTAGGAAAAAGTAAACCATGCGCAGGGGATGGGGGTTTCGGATCCCCTTGACTGAATTTGTAGAATTGAATGAATAATGAAGCAAATACAATATGCCAATATGGATATAAGGTTTGATTGATTATTCTTTATTATGTGTGTAGAAAATTCTTTTTATATGGAATATTTATCACACATTTCACATGCTGAATACTGCTTTTATTTAGTAAAAAAAAGTATTTCGGAAAAAATCGGATTTTCCTGGATGCGAACCTTGGCCCTCTCACATGTGAAGCGAGAAACATACAATTAGACCACGGAGCCGCGTTATGATTGCAAAAAATATATACAAACATTAAGTCACATATATATTCACGTTCGATATATTGTCAAAATTAAACACAATGCATGATGTCTAATTTAACCTTTATTAAACAGTTCTAATAGATGTAATAAGCATATAAAGTCCGCCGAGAACCTGTTTTATGCGTAACAACTCTCATTCATGCCCCTGTGCTAAAAATAGCGACATGTAATACAATCAATACTAATAAAACAAACGGGGCGGGACTTTTTGAGAGGAGTGAGAGAGGTTCTAGGAACTTTTGGTATAAAATTACATTGCAAAAGCTCAACATCCTCTTGATATATCGCCCGAAAACGATAGTGTTACAAACAAACAGAATGTATACATTTATGACCTTGAAGTTTAACCTTTTGACCTTAAAATCAATAGGGGTCTTCCTTAAGCTCGGGAAGTTGTTATGTAAAATTTCATTGCAAGAGCTCAAAGGGTTCTCGAGATATCGCCCGGAAACGAAAGTGTTATAACAGACAGAATTTGCGAATTTATGACCTTGACCTTGACCTTTGACCTTTTGACTTCAAAATCAATAGGGCTCTTCTTTAGTCCATAGGGAGTTGCTATGCAAAATATCATTGCAAAAGCTCAAAGGGTTTTCGAGATATCGTGTGGAAACGAAAGCGTTAAAGACAGACAGAAAGACGGACGGACGTACGGACGGACAAACGGACGGACGGACAGACTGACAGACCCAAATTAATATCCCCCACTTTTCAAGCGGGGGACAAAAAGAACATTAACATTTTCGAGAATTATGATTCAGATGTCCAATATCTATGTACTAAAGAGGTTTTTTGTAGTTAAAGATATAGAAAGCAAAGTTCGAGGCATATGTGTAAGAAGTACAAGGTGTGAATGGACTTGAAATATGGTGACACACAAATCTGGATCTAATGTGACAAACAATACCATATTAACTTCGTCGATTTCTTTGTAAGCATACTAAAGTTTATGGAAAAAGATGTGTTTGTAAGACACTGATGCCCCTGTATGGCAACATAGCAAAGATTAAGCTTTTTTAAAATGCAAATTTAATTAATTGGTACCAAAAGTAGGGTATTCTCACTGGAAAACAATTGTGAAATTTGAAAGTAAGCTTATGTTAAAGTCTTTTAATAATTACAAAAATCTCCAAGGTCAAGGTCAAAAGGTCAATGTAATTAGTATCAAATGAAAGGTCTTGCCACATAAAATACTTTTGTAGAGCATGAAAGCCCTAGCCCTAAACGTTCAGAAGGTATGGTCAACGTTCATTTTCTTAAAAAGTAGGCAAATTCCAAGATCAAGGTCAAAGTGTCAAAGTTATTGTTATCAAATGAAAAGTCTTGTCATAATAATCGAATATGTAAAGTATGAAAGCACTAGCCCAAACTCTTTAAAAGTTACGGTCAAGTTTGCTTTTTTAAAGTAGGTCAATCTCAAAGGTCAAGGTCAAAGGGTCAAAGTTCTTGGTATCCAATGAAGTGTCTTCTCACAAGGATTACATGTATGAAGTATGAAAGCCCCATCCTTTACCGTTCAAAAGTTATGGCCAAGGTTAAAGTTTTTTCACAAGTAAGGAAATCTACAAGGTAAAGGTCAAGGTCAAAGGGTCAAAGTTGTTGGTATCCAGTGAAAGGTCTTCTAACAAACATTGTATATGTGAAGTATAAATGTCCTGGTGTTTACTGTTCAAGAGATATGGCCAAAGTAAAATTTTAAAATTTTCATGTAAAAGTGGGTCAAACTCCAAAGTCAAGGTCAATGGTCAAATGGGTGGTACCCAAAGAAAGGTTTTGTCACAAGGAATACACATATGAAATATGAAAGTCATAGCTCCACTAAATCAAAAGTTATGGGCAAGTTTAAAGATTTTGCAGACAAACAGACAAACAGAGAGACAGACAGAGAGACAGACAGACAGACACGACAAAAACTATATACCCCTGAAACTTCGTTTACGGGGGCATAAAATAGTAACAAAAATACGGTCGAATATCTTAACCTTGTGGTATTTTTTGATGAAAGCAAATATGTGAGAAATGAGTCATTATGTGGCTTTTCTGCATGAATCTTAAAGTTTTACTAAACCAATGACGTTTCCAGAATGGTCCTCCTTCATGTCATATTCTTTACTGATTAATCATATTAATCAACCCAACTAATATTACAGCCACTTTCATAACTTGTTATGAACATTACACTAAAAGGCTAAGTAAAGACAAAACAGTATCTTCTTTAATCATATTTTTTAAACTTAAATTCTTTAAATGTGATGTTTTTCATGAAGCCTAGTGCGCTTCAAGAAATGTACCTTTGTGACAAGTCTGTGTGATTTACACACCAGTAACTCACACAAAACTTTAAAGTATTCCTTATATTAACTACGTGAATGTTTGAAAGCACCAAAATTTACTCAATATATGAATTTATCGCTGCCCTATATAGTTGCATGTTTACTTGCGACACTGTAGCCTCATTGTTCTCCGTGTATATTTCTACGCGAGAGTATACATAAAAACGGAATTCAAATCAATTTTACACTTGGCTTAGTAGAAAAACACAGCAAATGTAAATATATGGAGATAACAAACAATATTCAACCTCATGTCATTAAAGAACGATGCAAGAGAAGTTATGTGAAGTTTAGATTCCCATTTCCTAACTTATTGCATTTTTAAAAGAAAATTGTTTTTTTTTCTTGTAATATTTATACAGGATAGCGATTACATGATGTTTCTGTGAGTGTCAACAAACCAAAGAATGGTCAAAATTATTCATGTGGCTTTTATCCTGGGCCGGCGAAAAATGACGACAACTTCTTGTTTCTTTGTGAAACTGGCGCCATGGGTAAAAGTGTTACCGTAATGATTCATTCTAAGAATGAAGAATAGGATACAAAATTATCTTCATGTGTGTGAAATAGAGGTATTCGGAAAACTTTGACATTTATTTAAACACATGAAAAGAAAGAATTCCATTGAAATGACTGTACTGATAGAAAATGTTGAAGGAATTGTGCAAATCGTGAATATAATGTAAATTCTATCAATTTAATGTGTAATTACCTTTCAAAAATCCTTTAATTTCTATTACAAATATTTTAATGGACTGTCAAGAGGTATTTACTAATACAAATTTAACAATGTTGTAAGTACTCCTAGAAAATTAATAAATAATTGCAAATGAAAAAAAAGTACAATGTATTTCTAATACTGCACTTGAACAGTGTTGTTC